TGGTCAAGATCATATGAGAGCCTTGTAAGGTCCTATGGGGGTGATACACAGGTTTTATGAAGGTTATAAGGTTGTATGAAGATCTCATAAGGCTCTTATAGGGATCGTATGGAGGTCATATGAGGGTCATAGATCCTGTTTTGGATTGTCCATCGATTTCTTCCATCCGATGCAATAAGGTTATAAGAATTAGGCCAGACTCATAGGGTGTCTTATGGAGGTCATAGATTATAGGAGGGTCTTGTAAGGTCATATGGAGTTCTTAGAAAAATTGCATTGGGGGATTCTATAAGGCCCTTACAGGGATCATATGGAGGTCATGTGAAAGTCATATTGCGGTCGCATGAAGGTCACCCGCCCTGTTTTCATCTTTCTTTGGATCAGGTGAGGGAATAAGATTATAAGGAGATTCATATTATGGATCAGGTCAGGCTCATATTACGGCCTTATGTGGCTTACGGAGCTCTCATGGAGGTCGTGTAAAGATTCTATGGGGGTGATTTGAAGGTCCCATAGGGATTATATGGGGGTCACAATGTTATATAGGTTCATTATTTACAGGTTATATGAAGTCATACGAGCATTAAATGAGAATCACATGGAGGTCATATGAAGGTCATATTCCGCTCGCAAATAGGTCATAAACCCAAAAATTGAAAATTCAAGAAAAAATAACAAAATCAATATGAATGATTCATCATCGCACACTAACGGTCACAAGGACGCCTGGTGGGGACGGCAAGGGGTGGGGGGAGTGGAGCGAGCAGGGGGCAACGCCCCCAGCCGACAAATGAAATTTTCAATGGGGAATTTTTGGATTACATTGACGAATATTGGGTATTAAATTTTTATGTCGGTCTTTTTAGCATCCATTTTGTGAAGTATATTGCCGCAAAATGTATTAAAGCATTCACATGAGAATCCAGGCCGGGAAAAAGAAGTATCCTCAATCGTGAATAGCTCCAGGTCGGTATCCTCAAGTCATCCTTTATAGCTCACAATCCGATCAATTTTATTCCATTCATATTCTCATTGCAGTACTCTTCCCGTAATTGATACGACAGAATTATTATTAAATACCCGATCGATCGGGTAGTTGTTTTTTTAATTCTGATTGTCCCAAAAATTGGTTGCGAAAGCAATTACTCATTGAATAGCAGTTATGGCTCTCAATTTTTCCGGAAAATTCGCAAACGTTTGGGTACCGTTGAAAAATTCAATTGCAATCGTTATTCAATTTTCAAGTGTATCGCTCTTCCAATATGTGTGATTCACATTTTTTTTTTCAGAACAGCGAAATGGCCGGTGACACTCACCCATTCACGATCGATCTCCTCAAAATGTCCATTAAAAAATGGAGCAAAAAAATGATAGCATTAAGTGCTAAATGCATGTACAACAATTTTTTCCACCCCTTTTCGTCCGCCTTCTCCCCGCCGTATTTCACGGATTAACGTGGAACTCGATCCTATGAAATATGTATTTTTTCTTATCGCACATGTCGCCGAGTGAAATTTATCGCCAACGTATAGTCAAATGGTCAGAGACAAAGGGACACCAGAGATGGGAGTTTTAGGTTCGATGTTGTTATCCGAATGGGACGGGAAAGAGGGCAAGGAATAAAGTTAGGCTGGTGTAAAGAGCCGAGGGGAAATGAAACTAACACTCCTCGGGACAAGTTTTAATTAGTTCGGGGTCTCTTATCGCTGGAAACGTCGAATCCAATGAATTTTTCAGATAAATCACCTCGAATAATGATTATAGGAATTATTGTGGGAGTTTTCTCAAGTTGATATCTCTTCTAGGGCTCGGGATAGCAGATATTCTCGTAAATGTGGAAAGTTAATGGAAGAAGGAATAACATTTATTGAAAATTCATCAGGAACTAATTTAGAATTTGAGATAATTTTCCGCGCTTGAGAAAAGGACGGGACAGAAAATTTTAATTGGTATTGTAATTTTATGAAATAAAATGTTTTGAGAATTGAATTGAAGTTTTTACTTGCATACTGAGCGAAAAAATTTGTGCTGCCGCAAAATTATATGTTCTCCTGAAGAGATCTTTTGGCGTGTTGAATCAATTTACTTGTAGACAAAAAAGAAAGTTTCCACCACAACATGATAATTTTCGTAGTAGTAATTGTTTTCGTGAGACATTTATATGTCTTTCGGGTAAATACATTCGTTCTACAGAATTATATGAGGCTCCGGTTTTATCAAGTGAATATTATTGAGTAATGTATATCTTTGGCCAATAAACATTTATAATTTCCATGGAACAAATGATAATTTGAAGAGGAAACTACAATTTTCTTGCCGAAAACTGTGTTATTGGCAAAACTAAATAATTCGAGGAGACGATTTTTTTGAGAAAAAAAAATTCTTTCCTCGTCAATGTATTCTTTCTATGGTATAAACCTATGGAGTTCTCGCAGATCACATGATTGTCGTACAATAGATTACATTTTTTTCCTCCCAACACTTCGAATTTTTCTATGGATATTTCTGATTATCATGACGAAAATTTAATTTGTGTGAAAGGTAATAAATTTCATTCTATCAAGTTGGTTAATTACCCTCAAGTAAATTTGTTCCACTCAGCAGAGCAAATATTTCTCACAGCGCAATCTTTCATTTTTTTAAAATTACTATCAAGAAAAAAAACTCAGTTGTAGAGATTTCTTTTCATCTGAAGAATTTTGTAAACATGTAGATGAACAATAAAATGAATCATATTGCATGTTTTTTTTCAATTTTTGGGGGAGGGGTCTCTCATTCCGGAAACCAACGAAAAATTTCAATCGGGAATTGGAAGTTATTGCCAATCCTCTTGTGACGCATCACCTCGTGGGAAAAATCAACTTCATATAATAAATTCACACGTGAACTGGATAGCAAGAAATATCACTCACCCGTTATACGTCGTTTTCCCCGCGAAAACCCGCTGTAAAAACCCCAAGTAAAAGTGCGGTTTCATTTTCCCCACAATTAATGCTTTCATCATCAAACGAAGTTTTCTTCACCTTTTTCAAGACTGAAAAAAGGAGTTGGGAAATGCATTTAGCGCACCTGCACTCGAGAGATGAAAAAAGTTCTTTATTTACAGGGTCAACAAAAAAAACTGAAGTACACTGTTGGAAATATTTGGCTGAATTTTTCGGAAAAAAATCTTGAATTCGATTTAGGCGAAAAAAGTAAACGGAGTTTTAAGTGTCCCGGAAAATTCAGGTAACGTCCTAATTTTCTCAACGGCAAAAAGCCGGAAATTCCACATTTTTAGTCATTTACAAGAATTTTCAAGTGAAAATGAATATTCACTGCCAAATTATCCTTGAATTTTCAAGGGAATTTCAGGAATTTTTGAAAGAATTGCCTGAAAATTCTGAGGAATTTTGAGGGATTTTTAAAATTTTTCACTAATTTTCCGGGAATAATTAAACTGAAATTTACAGTTTCCACGCATTATTCCATGCACTGAGAGAAAGAATTAGCTCTGCGGAAAACCTATATGTTCCACATCAAAATATTTGATGTACAAGTGGAATAGATTTACTTGAGGAAACTTACCGACTCGATAGAAGGAAATTTAATATCTTTCACAAAAATTAAATTTTTGTCGTTATCATCAGAAATATCCAAAGAAGAATTCCAACTGTTGGCACGAAAAAATATAATGTATTGTATAACAATCATTTGATCTGAGAGAACTCCATAGGTTTATACCATAGAAAGAATACATTGACGAGGAAAGAATTTTTTTTCCCAAAAAAAATTGTCCCCTCAAAATGATTTAATTTTTCCAATAACGCAGTTTTCGGCAAGAAAATTGTAGTTTCCTTTTGAAATTATCATTTGTTCCACGGAAATTATAAGTGTTTATTGGACAAAGAGATACACTACCCCATAACAATCACTGGATAAACCCGGAGCCTCATATAATTCTCTGTAGAACGAATGTATTTACCCNAAAATGATTTAATTTTTCCAATAACGCAGTTTTCGGCAAGAAAATTGTAGTTTCCTTTTGAAATTATCATTTGTTCCACGGAAATTATAAGTGTTTATTGGACAAAGAGATACACTACCCCATAACAATCACTGGATAAACCCGGAGCCTCATATAATTCTCTGTAGAACGAATGTATTTACCCGAAAGACATGTAAATGTCTCACGAGAGCAATTACTACTACGAAAAAAATGTTTTGGTGGAAACATTTATTCAATATAAGCAAAACTTTAAATAAAATTTTTTATTCAAATTAAAAAAAAAATTATTCGAATCAAATAAATCATTCTTCTGGGAGAGCGACGGAAGATTTCTTCAGAGGAACCAAATTTTTCGGCAGAAATTACGAATTTTCCAAGATCCTCACCGGAACTATCACTGTAAAATTTTCAACAGTGTGATAAAACTTAAAAATCCTCCAAATTGCCTGAATTCCTTCTGAGCCCTTGCGTTAATCCCCCTCAGTAGCAGTGTGTAAATAATTTGACGCAATTCTCCCGAAGCCCAAACAAAACTGAAAACCCCCATATTTCCCTCACTTTTCCAGTCGCCTCCCGCCATTCCCGAGGGTCCAATACGTGGACAGGTGTTCAGGGAATAATCACGCTCCCATAAACCCCACCCGCGACCAAAAAACCCCACACCATTAATCCCCATTTTTTTAATTCAAACACATCCCGCAATACCTAGAGTAATTTCATCCCTATTCTCCCATTTCTTCCCTGATTTTCCCTCCACTGTCCTCCGTCGGACCACGGTCAACTGCATCACACATAAACGTGGGAGTCGTCGCAGTGGGGCCCGGAAGGTGGCTCGAACCACAGAGAAGAAAAGAAAAAAATCCACTCCCCCGGTGTCAGCGGGAGAAAGAGAGAAACGGGGGATATCGCACCGGCGTGTGCAGCGCCGAAGTGGCCCGAGCCGAGTCGAAGAGAGCCGAAATGACGAACCCTCCGCACACGATAGACCAACCAGTCGTGCTGCGACCGTCTAACCGCGAGCCTCGTGAGTGTCAAATTTTGGTTCAGCGGGATTCACGAGTGAAATCAAAGTGTGACAAATGCAATCCGACGTCGACTGAAGAAAAAAAAAAGTGAAAATCGTGTCGTAAAAAAACCAATTGAATTTTCCCGCCATTTCGGTGAGGGGGGAAGGGCGACTGTCTCCTCATTGGACGGAGTAACTTTCACACCATTAGTTGGCGCTTATCGCTTAACAGGTGTAATCGCACCGTCACCGGTAATTGGACTGTTTAGTTTCTGGTATTTTCGTTAAATTCCGTGGGAAAGGAAAATTGTGATCGCGTTTTCCGGTGTGACATTGCGGCATCCCTTCGGGAGAGTCGGATTTTGTGATTTTGACGATGATTTCGTGAAGTGCGTGGGTGAGCATCGATGATGAGTGACAGATGGACAGTGGAGTTGCGAGTTATGTAGTTCGGTTGATTGAATTTAGGACTGATTGTAATTTAAGGGGCTGATAGGGAAGAAGTTGATACGTTGTATCTGAATTTTGGGTGGGCTAGGGGGTTGGTCGAGGGAATTTATCGTCACGTGTGAGTGGTAAACACAAGCACGATGGAGACCAACGAGAATTGGCCGGGTCGGAAGGCAATCGAGGCGACAGTGCCCAAGAAATTTCGGAAGGAGAGCAATCGAATGGATGTTAGTGGACTCAATTGGGCGATGCTGTTTCTGTGTGTGGGGAGTCTTGGGATTTCGGGAATACTTGCTTATCGTGAATTGCAACTGGAGGCGAGGATAGAGAGTCTCGAGGCGCGCTGCGATCATCAGGAGACCTCGGAGGTTATCATTAAGAGGCTTCGTCGGGAAGTGCAGGAGGCTTTTCTGGGACAGAAGATACCGTATCCGGAGTCACCCATGTTCAGGATTAAGAGGGATGTTGGAGATTGCAACTGTCCAGCTGGTGAGTAGTGATATTTCATGGTTTGTGGGGGGTTTTTAGTGTTGTGGGGATGCTGGGGGCTGCAATTAAGACTTTGGCTCCGTTTTTAAGACGTTTGTGTACAGGAATTCAAGGCATTTTTAGGGTCTCAAATTGAAGTATTGGGGTCTGGATTCTGGACATTCATTTGTTACATTTGTTTTTCCAGAGGTTTCATTCATTTTTGTTGCATGAAACAAATAAATTCATCATGCTGGGGAACATAGTGGCTGAAATCAAGACTTTGGCTCCGTTTTTGAGATGTTTGAGTCCAGGAATTCAAGGCATTTTGAGGGTCAAATTGAGATACTAAGACATGGATTCTCAACATTCATTTGTTGAGTTTGTTTTTCCAAATATTTAATTCCTTTTTGTTGCACGAAATAGTTAAATTCACCATGTTGGGGAAACTAAGGGCTGAAATTAAGATTGGCCCAATTTTTAAGACGTTTGTGTCTAGGAATTCAAGGTATTTTTAGGGTTCAATTGAGGTATTAAGACATGGATTCTGGACATTCACTCGTCTCATTTGAATCTATACAATTAAATTCACCATGTTGGGGAACTGTGGGCCGAAATTAAGACTTTGGTTCGGTTTTTAAGATGTTTCGGTCTCGGGATTCAAGGCATTTTTACGGTCAAATTCAGATATTAGGACATGAAATCTGGACATTCATTTGTTGCATTTGTTTTTCCAAATATTTCATTAATTTTTGTTGCATGAACCGACGCCGACTCATCTCCCAGTTGAGTTTTTGACGAATATTTCCGAATCTAAGGGAGATAGCGAAATTTTCGTAATTATATTTGTTGTAGCTCTCAATCGACTCTACAAAAAAGGTTATAACAAAAATTTTGCCAGCTCCCTTAGATTTCGAGATATTCATTGAAAACTGGTCAATAGTCAAAATTGACTTGTACCATTTTATTACTTCGCTATTGAATTTAATTCACTATTTTGTTAGAAGTTAACTTTGGTTGTGTTAAATGTAACGGTTATGAAGTAGAATTTGAAGGGGACTAGAGAAATGAGGGTTAATGAATTTTTGGAAGAAAAAATACTCATGAAAAGTATTTTTCTTTGGAGTAATATTCAAGGTTTTTATGTTCTTCTGATGCTGCAATGATGCTATGTTTGAGTTCCTTCATGATTTTTTGATCATTTTTCATCCCTTCGGACACTCAATGAATTCAGAACTCCAATAAATTAGAAGAAAATTGATAAGTCTCCAAAAATGTCCTAAATTTTATGAATTGTATTTTAAGACACTATGAAAACGTCTTGCCCATCAAATATCTTGAATTAAACTACCAGCTTTTGCAGTATAACGCTTGAAAAATTAGGGTCTGTTATTGAGACATCAAGACATGCATTCTGGACATTCTATGTGTCGTACTCGAGGATCTTTTCTGTCAAACTTCTGATGTCTCATTTGTTTTTTCAAATACTTCGTTTATTTTTTAAAATCGACATTTACCGACGTTTTCACAGTGTCTTGAATTACGATCCACCAAATTTAAGACATTTTTTCTGTGACGATTTAAGACACTTGGGTAAATGTCAAGTGTCAAGTGTTAAGACAATGTAAATGTCTAGTTGCGTAAATGCCAAGTGTCTTAAATTGAGACAAAAAATGTCTTATATTTGTTGACTTGTATTTTAAGACATTATGAAAACGTTTTGTCTATCAAATATCTTGGTTTTAGCTGAAAAAATGTCTTATTTTAAGACATTCAGAATTTTACTTTTCACCAATGTCTTGAATTAAGCCGTCTCGAAATCACTAATTTTTCCAGGACAATTTCCCCACGTCTCTCGCGTCTCTTGTAACCTCATGTTCACGGATAATCCGTGCAAACTGTATACTTGACAAACTTTGGCGTTCAGAAAGAAGGGAGAGTGAAGACGAGGGGAAAAATTTCAAAAGTTTTAAATTCAGTTTTTCGTGATGAGGTTCGATCTCAACGACGGAAATCTGTACCAATTTCATTTTCTTTAAGGCATACGGGATATTGGAACCCTCCGTGGGATGACGGAAAACGATATTTTCATGGGGAGAAAATATTTGATGAAAAAGTTGGGGCTCCTGCTGGGGATACAGTGTAAAAAGTTTTTCGGAGATTTTGAGATTTATAGTGAGAAATTGACAGATGTTTTTTTAAGATTTTATTGTTTGAGAATTACTCTGTGAATTTGAAGCAAAATCTTGATGTTTTTCTTAACGATTGATTAAGATGATCGATATATCTATGCATGTTGTTACTGACAAATTAGCTAATTTATAGAATATTCAATTAAATAATTCAGTAGCGAAGCGGTAAACCGGGTTAAGTCGATTTTGACTATTGGCCAGTT